TGCACCGCGCTGGCCTCCGCTCTGCGCCCCGTAGCCTGGCCCTCTCTGGGTCGCGTCGGGCCCCTGTTGGGCCGCTTGTTTCTCGGTCTGTCTCTTACTCTGTCTCTGGGTCCGCGGGTCTCTCTGCCTTGGTGTCTCCGTTTCTTTAACCTGTCGCTGCCTCCGGGTCTCCCCCATCTCGGTTCCAGGCTACATGGAGGCAGATGCAAGGACTGGGTCTCTGTCCTGATGGCCCCGTCTTCCCTTCGAAGCCCAGTCGATCCCAGCCCAGGTCCTGCCCTGAACCCTGGTTGGCCTCTCCACTCGCTGCACCGACAGGTCCACAGAGAAGACGGTTCCCTCCTCGGGCCATTTCCATCGCCATCCAAGCTGAGGGCTTCTGCTGCTGCTGCAGTGACCAGCCCAGGCAGGGCATTTCCCCAGCCCAGCCCTGTCACAGTCAGAAGTCTCTGCAAACCTGAAAGGGACAAGGAAGGTTTGATTGCTTTCATTGTACACATAGGGAAACTGAGGCTGGAGGAGGCGAAGACTTGCCCAAGGACATGAGGTCCAGGGGCAGCAGATGCCGGACCAGAACCCTGGTTTTCTGACCCCAGAAGGTCATTTCCCACTCATTCTGCAACTGTGCCTTCTCTGTGCGAGCCAGACTGGCTGCCTCAGGATCCCACAGATGTTTCTTGTTCTAAAGCCAGGGATTCCATCTTCAGGCTAGGGTGGGGAGAGGAGTGCAGATTGAATGACCTGTTTAAGGTCCCTTCCAAACCAAGATGCTGTGGTTCTTTATTCCCTATGTTTCCAGGGTTCCCATGACTTAGAGCCATTTTGTCTCTGTGCCCAGTAGGTGCCTTACCCACCTGTTGCTAGGTAACCCTTAATAATGACCTCTACTTTGCAGATCTAATGGGATCTGGCCTTTATTTATTCGTTCATTGCCAGGCCCATCAGCAGCATTTGACTTAGCCAATCACTCCCACTTGCTTCTCTTAGTGATGTTATCTGGTCATCAAGTCTTTAAGTGACACCTTTGTACTGAAGATGCCTAAATGTAGGCCTCCGGGCTGGACCATGACCCCTGAACCCCAGACGTATCCAGCTACCTGCTCAACATTTTCATTGGCTGTCTAATAGGCCTCTCAAATTTAACATGTCCAAAGTTGAGCTCTGATCTTCCCTATTAAACCCTCCCACAGTTTCCCCCATCCAGTTCCTAGCAGCTCCATTCGTCCAGTTGCTCAGGTGCAAAACATTGGAGTTATCCTTGACCCTTCCTTTTCATATCCTTCCTGCTCTATCTTCCCACGACCACCTTGATCCAAGCACCTCTTATCTGGATTGTGGCAGTAGCCTCCTCACAGGTCTCCTTGTTTCTGTCCTTATCTCTCTTCTGTCTTTTCTCAAAACAGAATAAAAAGTGATTCTGGCCTTAGTTGGTGTTGCTTGGTGGTTAGAGGATTGCTGGTTCAATTCCCGGTCAAGGTCATGTACCTGGGTAGCAGGTTCATTCCCTGCCCCCAGTCGGGATGCATGAGGGAGGCAACCAGTCGATGTCTCTCTCTCTCCCCTCCCCCGACTCAATTCTTCCTACCTTCCACACTTTCTGAAAAGCAATGGAAAAAATACCCTCAGGTGAGGATTAACAACAACAACAAAGTGATTCTGTTAAAATGTGAATGAGATGGTGTCATTTCTCTGCTCAACACTTACCAGGACCTCCTAGCTCAGAGCAAAAGCCAAAGTCTGATCTGGAGGCCTGTTTTACCTCTCTGACCTCCCCTTCCACACCATCCCCTTTGTTCACCACCTCTCAGGCCACACTAGCCTCCTGGCTGTAACTTGATCATGACCAGCCCCCTCCCTCCTGCCTCCAGACCTTTGCCCAGCTAGTGCAAGTCTGAAATTCTGTCCCTCACCCTCCCATCCTCACAACTTCCCCCACTCTCCCTATCTCGCTTCTTTCTGACATGCTCTACATTTTACTTACAGTCTGTCCCCCCCAGCCAGAATATGGGCCTCATGAGGACTGGGATTTTGGTCTGTAGGTTCACTGCTGAATTCTAAGCAGCTAGACCAGTATCTGGGACTGTGTAGGTGCCAGTGGCCAGGATAAAAGATACAAGTCACTACCCACAGGGACAATAGTATCCAAAGTGGCATGGGGTAGCTGGGAGGATGGGAGCAGGAGAAGGAGGGTGTGGTGGGGTGTTGAGGAAGAAGTCTTCACAGGACTGTTGATCGTTGTAGATGTTTGACCAGGGTCTTGACCATTTAAGGAGGATAGAACCAAAGGGGTGAAGGAAAGAAACACCGTCTGCAGAGGCCCTGTGGTGTGAGAGCACCGTAAGTATTCCAGAAATGGCAGGGCCAATAATTAACCGCACGGACAGTCATGGGCCACCTGTAATGGGTCAGGCCTGCTCTGGGCACTGGGAACACAGTGGTGAACTTGGTTCTTGCCGGCACAACACTTGATCGAGTGAAGGAAACAGACAAGGAGAAAGGCAGCTGTAATACTGTATGATTCAGGCGGTGATGGACCACAGGAAGGAGAGGCGCCCTGGCCAGACTTGGGGGGAGGCAGGGAAAGCTTCTGGTGAAAACAAATACCTGAACCCAGTGTAAGCAAAATGTAAGAAGTGTAAACTGGGCAGGAAGGAGGACAGGGGTGGGAGAGGAAGCCAAGCAGGGAAGCTGGGACCAGATGGGGAAGGCCTTACATGTTGCCTAGAACAGCGGTTACCAGCCGATGGTCTGCGGACCACTGGTGGTCCGTGAGGTCCGAAAGGTTGGCGACTGCTGGCCTAGAAAGCAGTTGATGATTTCACTCTCAATTGAATGAATAAAAGAACAGACAAGGTGTCACCATATAGTGTTACTAATTCCACAAGCCACACACAAAAATCCAGTTCATTTCTGTCTTCATATCTCAGCACACAGGTGTGGAGTGGGTTGACAGGGTCAGGCCAGCCAAATCCAGTGTAAGGAATAAGAGCCACGGGTCCTGTCCTGGCTCTGCTACCGATTTGCTATGTGACTTTGGGCAACTTCTTTCCTCTTCCTGGGCCTCAGCTTGGTCAGTGAGAAAAACAAGAGGGCTGGGGTATGATGCACATTTCTCAGCAGGAGTTCCAAAGACTTCACACCATTAAAAGTGGATATGGCACTTGTTTTAATTTCTTTCTTTTTAAACCAATTCATAAAATATTCTTATTTCCCCCCCTTCAAATAGTACCACGGAATGCCTCCAAATGTGTATGGGGTGCTCGTGTAGAGGGCCGTGGAGGACAGTGAGCATGCCCAATGAACATCATTATCCACTGTCATGGCTCTTACCATTAAACGGCTTAGTTATAGCCCTAGCTGGTTTGACTCAATGGATAGAGCGTCAGCCTGCGGACTGAAGGGTCCCGGGTTCAATACCGGTCAAGGGCACATGCCCACATTGTGGGCTCAATCCCCAGTAGGGGGCATGCAGGAGGCAGCCTATCGATGATTCTCATCATTGATGTTTCTATCTCCCTCTCCCTTCCTCTCTGAAATCAATAAAAATATATTTTTAAAAATAAAAATAAAAACAGCTTAGTTATGTATACATTGTTTCATTTATAGCCTCTGTTGGATCATAAAAAAATACATGACAGGAAGTATAAGAAACACTGATGCTGAGGAGAAAATGATAATTTTGCAAATTTGCCTCAAGTTGACAGAAAAGAATATTATAGTCTTCTAATCAAAAGTCATTAGTCATTCATATGTCAAAAGCCAATGTTTAAAAAAATAAAATCTAGTGATAATTTAATCTAATTTGGCTTTTTGTGTACCAGAAAGGCAAACCTATTGTACTTACAATGTTATTTGTGAAGAAATACTTCCCAGTAGATGGAAATATTTTATTTCACATTTTAAAAATAAAACTAAAAAAGACTTTAAAAAATTATTATAGCACAAAATGGAATCAGATCATGAAAGCAATTTTTGCCTATTTTTGATTCTGTGGTTAAATTTCAGGACCCCCAAATATATGGTCCCCAAATTTGATAAAATAGTTTTGTTTATTGACAAATCATGCTTTTTTTGCAATTAATTTAAAATCAACATGCATCCTTTCTTAAATGGGGAAGAGGGTTTTCTAACTCATCAATTTAATTAAATATATTTAAATGTCCTTCAACTAACTATATACTGTTATACATTATCATTTTCTTTGAGACAATTCTAAGACAGAAGTAACATCTTGGGGATAGCTCAATATAGGGGTTGGGAGACTGGGAAAAGGCAAGAGGATTACAGTTTTCATTGGTTTGACCAGGTGGATGGGATGTTATTGAACAAAGAGAACATGGGGAGAGTGAGACAGAGGAGAGGGGAGATAATTTGCTTGTTCAACATGCTGAATCTGAGGTGCCTTCATGGCACCCGAGTGAAAATGTTAACAGGAACGGAAATGTCGTTTTGATCTGAGCAGAGAGGTCAGAACCAGATAAATTATTTTGTGAGCTGGTGCTTCTCCTATCTAAACACCTAATGCACTTGACTGTCATATTCTTTACTGAACTGTCTGGCTCTACTGCTAGACAGTAAGCTCCTGTGGCAGGGACCATGTGGATCCTGCTCACGATGAATGCTTTTTAAAATGTTACTCCTTTATCATATGCCATGCAAAGATGATGAAAGTTTTAAATCACTAAGGGTGTTCTCAGGAGAGCATATTACTGTGAAGGGGTTTGGGCAACAAAAAAATGTTGGAAAGCACTGGTCTGAGACTTCTAAGACCTCGGTAGGCTCTGTGACTCTAAATCAAGAATGTGTGGACCACTTGCTCTGTAGGACCAGCAGATTTAATGGCTGTGGCACCCATATCATTCTAGAATAGGTAACAGACTCCATCACAGTGGTGGTTTAAAAATATGTGTACAAGTTCTTTGACACAACATCTCCCTCCAACAAATAGACTCTACTTTCCCTCCCTTTGGACATAGGCTGGGCCCTAGTGACTCATTTCTAAAGGATAGAATGTGGTGAAAGTGATACTGTGTGGATTCTTAGGTTTGTCATGAAAGAAGACACAGCTCCCACCTGGCTTTCTCTGAGATGGCATGGAGGTAGAGAGGCTGTTCCACTGGGAGGTGCCGCCTTCCCGGTGTCCAGTCCGGCCACTGTCTGACTGTGACCACAAAGGAGGCCCTGAGCCCCGTTAACCCCCCGCACTGTGTGAGACAGTAATAATAAAAATGGGGATCGTTGTTTTCCACCACCGCATTTGGGGTGGTTTGTACTGGAACCCACAACAGCTGCTGGAATCTTTACTGGACTGGGTTCACTATCAGAACCACTCACTGCCTCCCCTACTCATTCTCCTTTAAGGAAAATACAAAAAAAAATAGATTTGTTTATAATATTGTCACCCTTCGTATTCAAAACCATCGCTCACACTGTGCCTCTGCTCAAACCCTCTGGGCCAGTGGGATGGGTCTCCTCTCACCCTGGGATGCCTTTCCACCCATGTCTTATTATCAAATTGCTAAACAATTTGTGGAATTATGGAATACTTTTATTTTCTTTTTTGTGCTTTTCTATGTTGTTTTTTTTCCAAATTATCTACAGTGAACATATATTATTTTTGTCATCAGAAATAGTAAATGTAACTGAGAGGAAAGAAATTACGATCTTCAGTTTGGGAAGATGAAAAAGTTCTGGAAATAGAGGTGATGGTTGCACAACAGTGTGAGTGGACTTAGTGCTACTGAGCTATACACTTAAAATCGCTAGAATGATAAATTTGTGTTATGCATATTTTACCACAATAAAAAGAATACATATAATCCCTTAAAAATCAAATCCCAGCTCCTTCAAGGTGATCACCCAGTCCGCACCCATCTGTCTGTACCACTCAAAGGCACTGGATTGTTTCTGCCTCATACAGCAATTTCTTCATTTACGTAATTTATGTCCATCTTGTGTCTCAGATCACACTGGAAACTCCTTGAGGGCATCAAACAGGTGGTCATGCCTGCAGTACACTTAAAAATCAATTGCCTGGAAAGCAAAACACATTTCCCTAAAGAATCAACAACTATAAATGGTGGCTATGTTCTCAGACTACCCCATCAAAACCAACCTCACGCACTAAATATCTGAAATGTTATATATTGGCAATGAAAATATATTGCAGAAAAACATTGGAAATAGTAGCAATTAAAACGGGAAAAAAGCAATGGAAAGGTTGAAAAGTTTGGGATTGAATTAGTAACAAATACATATACTGGGAAAAAGATAATTATTAACTAGGTAAAACAGAAAGTTCTGCATGAATAAAAATGATTCAGTTTGTTACATGACTCATCTCTGAATATGTTGACATAGTCATAATGATGTCAACACTGAATATGGTCTAAGTGAAATTACAATAAAACTATATTGAAAAAAATGAGGGAGATGGGATGTGTATATGTTTGGTGGAAATTGGAGGAAAAACAGCCAAATTTGAATCTTTCATAGCAGGATGCCTCTAGATAATGCCTAAAAACTGGGGGGGAAAAATCACAGGATAACAT